CTTTCATTTTTAACCAAATCTACCCTCGAACTTCAAAAAGTACTAAAACTATCCCTAAACTTCAATTTTCAAAACCAATCTGATCCTTCCGTTGACAGAAGTGCCAAATGGCACGTTAAATTGTTACAAAATCAATTTTTATTTTAAATCTTTAATTATGTGAAAAATAACTTAACCAACCGTGGCATTTTTGTTGTCTTCATCATTTTAATTAATTTATATATTAAAAAATTAAAATTCCTTAAATACCCCATCTTCATCTTCCAGCCCTTCTTTTTCTCCCTTCTCGTCTCTCTCTATCCTCAAATGCCTCTTCATCTTGTAACCTACTCAGCACCAATCGTCCCTCATTACTCTGGTCATCCCTTACCACTCCGATCACCATCTCCATACATCACTCTGATCATCAACTCTAGCTTTGTAAATATGCTTAACCTAGAAACCCAGAAACCAAAAAGAAATATAAGCCAACTTCTTAACTTTATTTCCACTTGTTGCCTTTTCGTTTCTCCTCCTCTTCAATTTCCAATCTCTACCTCCCTCTCCGTCTCCTTTCTTCTCTGTTAGTGGTGATTTCAACTCCTGATCAACACATGATCACCAGAAGGAAAATGGAACCCGAATCACCAAACCTCTTCTTCTTCCTCCCTAAACCTCCTCTCTAATGGAACCCAAATCTGGTTACTCGCACAATAATAATGGCTAATAGACTAATTCAAAAAATCAATTACACTGCAAACTTATACCAAATCTGTAAAGATTCAAAAAATCAATCATACTGCAAACTTATATCAGATCTGTAAAAAATAAAAAATAAAAAATAAAAAAATGCAAAAAACACAACATCCCTTCAATCAACACCAACAGTACCTAGATCTTAAAATGCAAGCAAGCAGCCACCCAAAACTCTAAATCCCATACCAAGATAGCCAAGCATGACTGCAACCAACAAAGAAACAGAGAAGAAGAAGAAGAAGAAGATGAAGAAGAAGAAGAAGCAATGAGAAAAAATCATGGGATTTATTTCAAAAATACCGAGAAAAGGAGGGAAAATACTCAAATCGAGTTTTCTTGGTTGGGTTTTCAACAGAAAAGGGGAAAAAAAAAAGGATGAGAAGGAGAAGGGAGGTAAAGAACCTAGGTGTGTTGGGTTTGAAGGTACCCAATGCCTGGGTTCCAAAGAATTGACACCTGGGTTCCTTCAAATCCAGTAAGTAGGGGAAGGAGAAAGGGAAAGAGAAGAATAAAAAATAAAAATAAAAAAGGAACAAAATTTTTATTTAATAACTATTTATTAAACTATTTTCATGTCATTTACTTTAAAATTTATCGCGTCCTAACACTTTTATAATTAAAAAATGTATTATCACCTATTTTATTTCCATGTAACACTTAATATTAATAGAAATTGAATTTCTTAACAAAGGATTTCGTCACATCAGCACTTAACTAACAGAATGACTAAATTGGTACCAAAAAATTGAAGTTCAAGGATATTTTTAGTAATTTTTGAAGTTTAGGGTAGATTTGGTTAAAACATAAAAGTTGAGGGACCAAACCGGATATTTAACCAAAAAGGAATTGGATGTTATTTTAAACAAAAAAGGCCCCGCCAAAGTCAGGTAGCTAGAAATTATAAATGTCGAATTGTGTAGA